ATAAATCTACGTGCACTGCTGGTTGGCATTCCTTTTCGAACTCGAAGCGGTCGTCGACGGTCGGTGTCGTGTGCTACAGCTACAGCTCCAGTAGTCAATCGTGCTGGGTGCTCTCGACAGACCTCAGGTGAGTCTTGCTAGCTTTTTTTATCAGCTGATGATTTTTTATCGATCGACGATTGAACCCCGTTTCTTATTTTGTTTGCAAGAGCCATGTGATTCGTGCTTTTGACAATCTTCCTTTTCTTCGTTTTAGTAGCTACGCACGCTGCTGCCCGTTTTTTGGTTTTGCAATGGCTGCTGGCTGTTCCTGTTCTTCACTGGCATCAGAATCGATGGCATGCGAATACAAGTAAGCGTTGTTGTTCTTACGTGTTTTCGATATTACTTTTTTCAAATGATTTTGTGCTCATTTCGATGAAATTACACTAAAAACCGGCTGCTAGACCCCCGCTGCGAACGAAAACTTTTTACCTCTTCTCGTGGTTTTGTGCTTAAAGGAAACTGGATTGGCTTTATTGCAATCAAAGTATGAAGAATTGTGGTAGATTTTTCCTGCTGTTTATTCTTGATGCAAGAAAATTTGATTTTCATAGGAAACCCGTTGTAATGCGAATTATGTAATCCCGCCAGCCCCAAACTTTTTATGCCTATCGAGAATCCTTTGCAGCAACTTTTCCTAACCGCCTTCGTTTTTTTTAGATAAACGATCGGATTCGCTGACTTTTTGGTTCAACAAGTGAGTATTTTTCTATTAAAATTTCACTTTTTGTGAGATTTTCCCACTGAGAATGAGATGGGATTTGCCTGCCTCCTGAGTGACAATTATTCTAGAAACCATTTCAAATGACTTTATGCTTATTTGGGTGAAATTACACTAAAAACCGGTTGCTAAAAGGAGTCGCTAGACCCGCCACGAACGCCTTTCTCTTAATGTTTTACCTCTTCGTAGTTTTGTCCTTCAAGGAAGATGGATTTGCTGTATTGCTCGCTTCACAAGAACAAGTTCAAATGATTTTATGCTTAGTTTGATGAAATTTCACTAAAAACAGGTCGCATAAAGGGGTGGCTAAACCCTCGGGGCGAACCTTTTTTTCTGAAATTTTTACAAAGCATTATGACTATGGATTTCCTTAAAAAGTGCTTTCATTAACCATGGAATAACATCTTAATTATTTGTGATGTTCTTCATCTAGATCAAAGATCGTTTCAAGCAATAATTATGACCCAGACGTGATTCTTGACTGTGGAGAAAAGGACTAAAGTTATATAGATTAGCTGTTGTCCGTAAATTGTATTTTGTTAATTTGTTGTTGGAGTAAGAATCATTTCTGATGCACGAAACTTTGGCTGTTTTCTATCTTTCCATTTCTTAAGTGCTTTGTTGCTGCAGTGTTTCAAAAGCTAATTGTGACGAAGATATGATATGTGGACCTCAAATGTATAGAACTGCGTAATAACTTTATAACTCTTTGGGGTTTAGAAGAGGTGTTTGATTCAGAATAAACAGGGAGCTTTGAGGGTGGCCCGCAATTATGTCTAAAAACAGCATCACAAGTGAACAAAGATTGAACGAAGTGCTTTAAAATGAACATTACAGCTCTAAGAATGACTTTAGAAAATATTTAAAAACGCCCCATAAGTCGACGAGGGCTAAGAGTGTATGATTGGAAAACTTAAAAATTTGATTCTGACTAAATAGGAGAACCTCTAGGAGTAACCCATGAAAATGTGCCAACGAGCATAAGGAATTGGTGGGACTGGCAGAAGCATGTTGCTGTCAAGTTTAAAGTAGAATTCAGAATAATTAACAAAGCTTTTAGATAAGCCTGCAAGATATTTAAACGACCACCACGATACACCGAGAGATAAAAGAAGATGGAAACTTTGAAAATTGCAATTAGAATAAGCAGGAGAATTAAAGAGGGTAACCCGTGAAAGTATTTAAACGAGGACCCCAATTAGATCGTGGCTTACAAAATGTATTGAAGAACTTTTCTGCCTTGCCTCGATATTGCAACCGTTTATGTATCAAATTGGTGTGTACATTTTAATAAACGGAAGAGTAGCTCCCAGTAAATCCCGCTCTGCGGGCACCCTATGGACCCCGGAATGGAATAGTAAGATTAGCCTCTGAAAGTCAAGAGTGCTATTAACCTCGATTTCAAAGGGGTTCAGATGGTGATGAAAGCTATGATATTGCTAATTGGTAATCATAATAATCAAGGAACTACTTATTGGATTGATTCTATTAGGAATTTCGCAAGTATGGGTATCTGGAGCCAGCAAGTAATTAAGTTTGGGTTTACTTTTCTAAAAGGATTTACTGATTACAATCAAGGTAATAAAGCATTATCTTCCTACACGAAAATAGCTCTTATCTCAATAGGGTTGTTGCTGCAAGTAAATAATACTTTGTCCTCGAGCAATTATTTCCTGCTCTTGCCAATAGTATATGCTACTCACAGTAGGCGTGACTATGGATTAGATTAATTATGTTTGCCTTTTGTCACGTTTAAAGTATCCTTGCCTGCTTGCTGTATGATATTACACTTTTTGCTTGCATTCCTTATAAAATTGAAAGAATGTAGGAGGACATTGTTTTTTTATTCTGATTTTCAAGATAGATTCAACTTTAATTTGATTTGTCAGAGGAGTAAACAGATAAGTAAGGTTGGGAAGTCTTAACATGAAATTTTATGGAAAATTAAAACAGGAGACTTAGGGGGTAACACATTAAATTATTTAAACGAGGAACACGAATAGACCTGGGCTGCAAATGTTTTTTAGCAACTTTCAATTAACGGAAGACTAGCTCCCCTACGAAGCCCGCTACGCGGGCTTGCCAGTGACCCTACGGTAGAGTACATAGATTAGCCTCGGAAAAGACAAGAATTTTCTTAAAACCCCCTGTGAATGATAATAAAATTAGCCTCGGTAAAGACAAGAATTCTTTCGAAGCCCCCAATGAGTATGCAGATTAGCCTCGGAAAAGACAAGAGGTGTATCAAACTCGATTTGAAAAAAATTGGCTCCGCACAAGTCACGTGATAAAAAAATTACTCGCACTCCTGTGACTATCGCTAGGAAGGGGGGAGCCTCTACCCCTTCTCTATTTCAGGCGACCCCCTGACTAGCGATAGTCACAGGAGTGCGAGTAATTTTTTTATCACGTGACTTGTGCGGAGCCATAAAAAACTAAAAAAAGTATGGAAACAGCCCCCTATTCTAAAATTAAAAAGATATAAAAACATTGGAGATCTGATAACGCACTCTTGGGACACATGAGTGACACCCTCAAGAGTTCTGAATCTGTTCTAACTGAGCAGATTCGGCATTTTTGGTGTTTACTTGGCAAACTTGGCGGTTGCATTGATTAAAGAATCAATGATAGTCGATGGTATATTTGATTGTTTTTATTCTCATTTCGATTTTATCCTCTTCACTCCCTGGTACGTCAATATTTTAACGAAAATGGCAAAACGAAGCCAGTGAGAACCAAACTCCACATTACAATGTTTCAGGGTTGGCTGCACGAATGACGAGAATAGCGTTCCGCCTGTGGATATTAATTCTAAGAGTAAGGTTATTTTGTAACAGGCCCGTAGACAGCTAAACTGGAGTGGGGGGCGTGGATAGAAATATAGCTTTTTCTATACTTGCCCTACGAGATACTATCAGATCAAGCTGTGCTTATAAGATCTTCAAACACAATTTTCGCAAATTATTGGGGGGGGGGGGAGGCATTGCCCCCTGCCCCCAGTGTCTACGGGTCTGATTGTAAGGGTAGAAAAAATTTCTCCAATGAGACATTTTCCAGCGAACTTGAATCATCAAAATTCGAAAATTTATTCACCTTCTGCGGCAACGATGGTGCCGCCTCAGGTAGTAACTTTCGTGTACATGTTTATTGCGACACGAGCATCTGCAAGCTAGCAAAGACTTGAACTACCTTAGTAACATTGGTCCCTATTCTGTTTAGTTATTAAATGACGTCTTTTTTCTTACCCAGAAAAGTTCAGAGCGTTGAGAAAATTGAAAAATGACTGAAGAAGATCTAGAAAGAACTTTCTTAATATCTTTTATAGGCCTAGTTCTTACAAGTAGTATGTATTGTAGATTTGAATCTTGATATATAACAGCCCTATAAAAGCCCTGCAAAAACTAAAAGGCTGCTAATTTCCCCAAATTTAGTGATGATCTGCATGCGTTGTGTACTCAATGTTGTCCAAAGTCCACTTCCAAAAGTAGCCCAGAGCCATTGATTAATTGGTATTAATTTGATTTAATCCTAAAGTTAGGCTTAATTTCCGTGAGTACAGCAATACAGATAAAAATGCTCAAAAAGATAAACTCTCAGCTCTCCTTAAGGATATATCTGCTATTTTCAAGAAAAAGGTACCTGTCACATGACCGCTTCTAAGGCAAATGTATCAAAAATGGGTCTTGTATCAATAAAGAATGACGTCATTGGTACGTATCGATCTAAGCCTTTCTTGAGAAAGTAATTTTAAGTTTAAACAGAGCAAATTCTTAATTAATCTCTGCATAAAATTGAGCAGTGAATCTTAGCAGGGAAGACGCCTTCGATTATAATATATAAGTAAGTGAAAGATAAGATACTCCTCCGAAGGCAAGCTGGCCCCATGAAATAGTTTTGGCCACCACGCCTTGCGCATCGAGCATTTGTATCTGTAGAAGCAGATTCAGATTCGCGGAAAAGACCTTCCTCATAACATGACAGTTTCCAGCCGGCTCCGCTTTAAAAATTGTCATTCGCCCACAATCGTCATTTAAAACTGCAACTGCCGTTTGTTGGGGAAAATATAGGAATTAAATTTTTTTCAGTTATATTTGCAACGAGCTAGCTCATTTTCAAAATCTTTAATGTTATTTATGATATGAATATGAAATGAACATTGGCGCTTCTAGCAATTCTCCAAGTGTGCTGCTAGTGTATTGCAATTCTCTAATTTTGCTTCTGTAAGCAAACTTAAAATTAACCCAGGAATATTTTCCATTGTAATATCTAAAACTTTGATCAATACAACAAATTTGCTGGGTACATAAAATCAGGAATTTAAATTTCCTTTAAACTACTATTCTTACTAATTTTGGGGACAGGGATCATGACAACACTTTATCAGCTCACACGAGAGCCCCCACATTATGAAAGAGTTTTAAGAAAATTGCCAATTATAAACAAATGGCAAAGTTTTCTGCTACATAAATGCAATTCATTTTATTTTGCAGAAGAAAGTGGACCAGGCAGGTAATTAAAAAAATTTTTTTATGTTTTGTTATTCAAACAAAGAAGAAAAATGTGATGTGATACATAATTCCGGCTTGGAAACTTGTAAAAATGTGTACAAACTCGATAAAACTCCATTTTAAAAAGGAATTACCATATATCTTACCCATAGCAAAACTATCTTTCCAAAAGCTTGCTAAAAGACCAGCAATATATCAGTTGGTTAGATATGCGAGCAAGTGTCAAGGAAGACCCACCATGACGAACATGTGTGAAATGATCGAGGAACATGTGTGAGAATGCGACAACCAGTCAACATACAAGCTAGATTTGCCTCTCCCAATTTTTTGCGAAATCAGCAAAAAGAATAAGAAGCGAATATAAAGCTCGCCACATTTTGCAAGGCTTAATGAAAGTAGTGAAGAGAACAAGGGACTCTCTGACTCTTTCATGTAGTTCGTTGCACTTCTAAACTCTCCTATCACTTCATACATCGACTGGTGGCTGTGCTAGGCAGATTTTTCAAGATACCCTTAAAAACGCCAATGAGATTGTTGAGAGTTTGGACGACATGCCAGAAGATGCATGCAAGTGCAGGCAAATTTGAATTTCTACAACACTGAACAAAATCGCAATTGCGACACTGTGACAAGGCATGGAAAAACAGGCATATTCGCTTCTCTGTGACATATTTGGTTGGCCTCACTGGAAGCTGCATTTTCAGTTGGTACAATTAGACGAAGCTCGTGGGCAGCTAGGAGTCTTCGAAATCCTTTTTTTATATGATTTGCGAGAAAACAAATAAAGAAACACAGGAAAGTTGCCCCACTTGCAATGTTTTTGAGATAGCTTGGGAAAAGCATTCTCATCAATTCTTTGCTATTCTAATCTATTTCAAATGGACTGCTAAAGTTGTTGACATTTTACCATATTAGTGACAAAAAAGACTCAGCTACGATAACAATTGTACAGAAAGCAATTTTTGCCTTACACAAAGCGCTTGAAGTACTTTGTTACTGTGTATTAACACCAATAAGCCTGCGAGGAGAAGATGAATGATGTTCTTGGCATAAAACTGACATAAAATATGATCCTAAAATTTGCCTCATTATCTTTTAGCTTGATCACGCAGTTTTGTTGAGGAATATTTATCGACGCAGTTCATTTACACTTTCTTCACTGTATGAGAATTTAATGAAATAGCAGCCTTCGGAAAATTGTCTGCACTAAGCTTTAACAGCGTTGTTGAAAATTATAAAAAAACAGGTATCCGGGAAATTAAACTGCTCTTGTTGCCCTTTCTAAATAATTACTATTTGGCATAATGTACTTCTCGTTACAATTTTGTCACATTGACTAGTAAACATCCACGATGCTTTCTCATTTAACACCGGCTTCATCTCTTTGGCAATGCCAAACACAAATGGCATATAATGGCGTACCTGGCAACAACCCCATGTCCAACCGATTGTCATCCGAAGCCGAATAGAAATCGGAACAAACAACCGGAACAAGCAACTGGAACAAAAACATGAAGTTTCACTCACACACAGTCTATGCAAGTCATCTTGGGGTTTTTGAAGCCATGCTCAGGTAAGAGTTGTGTAGCTTCTCCAAAAACGTGTTGTCATTCTGGGAAAGAAAAAAAAATACATTCCAAAACAGAACATTAAGAATAACGAAAATGCATACAAAATTGTCAACAATAATTGTGTTTTGCGAAAATTTTGCTCAATCATTTCCAGAAGACTTGTACAATTTTCTACTTTATTGATCAGTAACCCATGATGATTCAAATGAGAAGGTCAAAATGCGTTACAAAGAACAACCTTGGCAACAAAACCAGCCGTATTTTGGAACCACACCCTGACTGATTAACAAAATTACTCCTTATTACGCAACTTTATTTCTAGACTTCTACTCAAATTTTCATTTCCTAGCGTAAAGCTTCGTCTTTGTCTCCATGAAGTAGTTTAAATATCGAGTTAGTTGGGATGTTGTGCACGTCATTTTCAAATGATCAAATATAAGTTTTGTGACCGAATTTTAGTAGCATCATGTCACTCCCAGACACTGCTCATAGAAACATCTTAATTTTTTCTTCTCTTAATTGAAACAAAAATTATAAAAATTATTAAGCACTTTTCTACAAATAGACCAAGTATTGGCGCATTCAAATCTGGACTCTAAAAGATTCACGAAGACCAGCTAAATAGTTTTAAAAACGTGCAGTTATTTGAAATGGTGCATTAAATGAAATGGGTCTATCCTTGTTGTGATATAAAAACATCATTGCGATATGGAAAGCGAATTAAGCCATCGCAAGACTCTTTGAGCTGGGATCAACGGGGCAACAAAATATCAAACAAGGCTCTACAGCATACACAGAACAAGAAACAAAGCACATGCTTTCAATTTTACGTGTATAAGTCACTATTTGAAAAAGAACTGCGTATTTAAAGGTATTGAAAGTTTAGCATTAATTGAAAAACGAAACGATGGAAAATCAAGTGTAAAACAAGTACACAATGAAGTATATCACACGATCCACAATGAATCCATTTCCAAAATTTTTGATGATGTTTCATTACAACTTATTCTGTTGCAATTGAAGATTAATTTTTGTCATTGTCCATTCTATCTTGTTTGCATAGCAATCAAGCATTTAAAGCTTCAATTTCTTGGTTTTCAAAGATCTTTTGGATCAGTCCGTAATCTTTTAGTGTAAAATCGAAGAAAATTTATCCTCAATATAGCTAATAGAATCAAGAGTTGTATTAAAGCACAAATATTTTCTTGCAACGTGCGACAATTATTGTCTAGAGCAAAGCCCTTAATTTTGTCGACAAATAACCAAAATTTTAAGATGTCCTCGCTAAAAGAATGAGCCTTTAACTTCTGTCAGAGACATGAATTTAGAAATGCCAAAAATTCATGCAGAATTTGTTGCGTTTTCTTGAAAAGTTAGCCCTCAAAGCTGAAA